ATTGATACACATGGTTTGGAAATAGGTTTACCGACAATCCACCTCAAAGAACTTTTATTGAGATGCACGTTGAATGTTCAGTTCACCTTCAACAATGAGATCTATAGACAGAGAGATGGCATTGCCATGGGATCACCACTGGGTCCTTTGTTAGCTGATTGTTTTATGGCAAAGCTGGAAAATTCTCAACTTAGTCAAACCATCGGGCATTTTGACATTTATAAAAGATACGTAGACGACACTTTCGTCATCTGCGATAAGAAAGTAGTTCTTGATGATGTCTTGTTCGCCTTCAACAACTGCCATCCTTCTTTACAATTCACCATAGAAAAGGAATCGGAACTAAGTATTCCGTTTCTTGATGTGTGCCTTAGCAGACGGAATGACGGATCTCTCAAGAGATCGATCCACCGGAAACGTACATGGAACGGACAACTAACTAATTTTTACAGTTGGGTGCCTATTTCCAGGAAAAGGAATTTAATCCATTCACTCTGCTTTAGGATAAGGAAAATTTGTAGTTCTGATTGCGTCGACTCAGAACTTGACTTCCTGAAAGCCACACTCGCAGAAAACGGTTACCCTAACCGATTTATTGACAGAAACATGAAAGAGAAGCAGTCTAAACTGGTCACTGACTCAGTTCCAAAGAAAACCCTATTCGTGAACTTGGAATTCAAAGGAGATCAAGCTTCTGATATGCTCAAAAATCGTCTTTCTAAATCAGTTAGTAAAACGTTCCCTGCAGCTAGATTACATATGACGTTCACGAGCCGCAAACTGTTCTCTACCTCTGTAAAAGATAAGCTCCCCCGTCTGACCGCCTCCATGTGCATCTACCAGTTCACCTGCTCTTGTGGAGCAAGGTACATTGGCCGTAGTCAGAGAATGCTCTCCACACGGATACGAGAACATATTCCAGCTTGGTTTTACAAAGGAGAAAGGAAATGTGTGCGAAGTTCTATCTTAGAACACCTCATCGACTCTTGTCACTCGGTCAACCCTGACCATGATTTCAAGGTCTTATACAGGATTCATGCCAACTTCCCGCGTTTTCTTCGTTACAGACTTCTAAAGACAGCTGAGGCCTTGGCAATTCATGACTTTAAGCCAGACCTTTGTGTACAAAAGAAGTATGTACAATCCCTACTGCTGCCTTGGCCGTAGAGGGATAGACATTTATTTTTTTTATTATTATTTTATGTACTTTTCCCTTATTACTTCGATTATTATTATTATTATCATTATTATTATTATTACGACTCTCATTCTGAATCTTTTCCACTTGATCTACTCGACATTTTAAACCAAAAATTATTCATGTGTATACTTTTTATCTTTATTTTTACAATATTAAATTCTATGTTATCAAATTTCACACCATATTACGTAACATTTTACATTCGTCTATTAATCTTACAATTATATGCCTCTCCCCAAAATCTATACACCCGATGTATTATCTTATATATGACATTAATTATTGTTCCACTTGACTTAAACTATGAACCTTATCACAAATATTTTAAATTTATTTCATACTATTATTATTTCATGTATTTACACCTTTGACCTAATTCCCTCACCGGATATAATTTCTTTATAAAACCATATATATACGATTGTACAGCTTGATAATAAATTCGTTGAAAAGAGTCTCTTCGCTGAAAATTGTGTTCTTAATGCTACAATGGGAATTATTAAATTAGTTAAATATCTGATATATATATATATATAAATACACATTGTCTGAACTAGGCTGTATAGTTATTGAATTGTACAATTGTCCTCCAGGTTGAGCGGGAAAATCGACTTCGTTTCGTTTTCATCCCGTGGTTCTCGGCATACGATAACCAACCAATATTGAGGTAAGTACAACGTTTACAAGGGATTGAAAGCCGTTTTAGAAAAGTAAAAGTGCTGAGGTGAATCATTAAATTGTAATGAAATAGGTAAGTGCAAGTATCATTAATAAATGCATTAAAAAAAGAAAACTCCCTAGGCTGACAACGTTCATTTGCAATGTATAATGCTACACGTATATCTCGTACTATCATGATGTCCACTTTTGGTTTTAATACATTTTTTCCTCATGCCGGTTTTTTTATTTTATGCCTTTTTGTGCATTTGGTGCACAACCGTACCCTACAGAGAATAGGAATAGAATAAGTCGAATCAAATTCATAAAAAGCTATAAAATGTTAGGTTTATTGGAATATAATGAGGGTCAAGTAAAGACGTTATTGGAAAATGAATGAGATAAGACATTGTGAAGTGGTATTTAAAGATCCGACAATGGACAGCAAGTTAGTAAGAAACTGTCAGCCACGTCTCCTGAACCGTCATTGCCCAGCTCTTACTACGCTGGGACTCACGCTGTTCCTTGAAGTTTCTGAGAAACGCTTAGTAATAACGGACGCAAAACCAAAACACCGATTGGCTACTCGAGAATTCTTTATTGTAACACCAACATATAGGCAACTTTAAATTAAGTTTTAACTAAGGTCTATGAACAAATATTACGATAGTAAATCACAATATTACTTCTGACAGTTTTGGTCTGACTTCTTTCTGAACAGCGACCGATGAGATGATGACTGGTGTATTGATGCCTGCGCGAAAATTGAGGAAGTTGGTTTTGAGCAAACAACCATGAATTGATCGTTCAATCTTCAACTACATTGACAACAACCAAACTGTAAATTCATCATACATCAAATTGTGTGTAATTTATATAATAACTTATCGATGCCTGTACAATTGGTATGTTCCTGCATTAACAGGAAGAAATATATCATTATTACTGGAACAGGAGTCCTAAAGGCAATCAAGATTCTAAAAACTGGAAAAGCAGCAGGAACAGAGGGAATCCCAGCAGAGGCATTGGAAGTAGATCCATGGACATCAAAACTTAATTACATTACTTTGAGAAAGGATGTGGAATGAGGGCAAGGTATCTGGGGGTTCGAAGAAAAGCTACTTATTCAAATTTTCAAAGAAAGAGGACATAGGTCAATGCAGGAACTGACGCGACACTGTGCTCCTGTCCATCCCTAGCAAAATATTGAGCCTCATCATCCTGGAGAGAGTCAAACACATCACCCTAAATGAAAAACTTTGACCAGAACAGCCTGGATTCAGGAGAAGCAGGCCATGCATCGATCGAATCACAACATTACGAATCATCACTGAACGGAGCTAGGAATGGCAGTCAGCTCTCTATCTTACTCAACTTCATCGACTTTGAAAAGGCCTTCAGCAGCATCGACAGAGAGGTTATTTGGAAAATAATTTGCCACTTCGAGGTGCCGCCAACAATTATTCATCTCATCCAACAGTTGTACGACAATGCTGCGTGACAGGTAATCCACAACGGGGAACTCACAGAATCCTTCGAAGTGAAGATGGGACTACGACAAGTCTGGCTGCTGCCTACTATCTCTAGTGAGTTTCCTGATTGCGGTAGACTGGATAATGTGACAGTCAGAGGCGGGCAGCGAGGAAACAGGCATAAAATGGACCCACAAAAACCGTGGAGGATCTGGACTTCGGCGATAATATATGTCTGATTTCCCACAAAATGTAAGATACGCAAGGGAAAAGAGACAAGTTGGCAGAATAAGCATCCAGAGAAGATAGGAATTCAGGTGAACATAGGGAAAACAGAGGTGTCAATGTAGTTGTAGATTGAACGATCAATTCATGTTTGTTTGCTCAAAACTAAATCCTCCATATTTTTCGCGGAGTCATCGATAGTGCAGTCATCGTCTCATCGTTCGCTGTTCAGTGGAAGACAGAAAACTATCAGAAGTATTATCGCGATTTATGGTTATAACATTTATTCTTAGACCTTGTGTATAATAACCTTATTGTTGGTTACATACATATTGGCGTAAGAATAAAGGATTCTTGAGCCACCAATCTGTGTTCTGGTTTTCGCTATGGTTAATACAAAGCGTTTCTGAAAGTCTTCCATGGACAGCGTGAGGTCCAGCGTAGTAAGAGCTGGATATTGACAGTTTCTGAGAGTTGGCTGACAGGAGGTGATGAAGATTTCTGGCCAACTGCGACAATAGCGAGAGACAACAGACGACAATCAGCATAAATGGAAGGAACCTGAAAGAAACAACCTTCTTTACCTACCTACCTATGTAGCATCGTTTCAACTACAGGCGGACGGAACTGACTAGGATATCTAAGCAAGGATCGGGAAGACAAGTCTGTGTAGATGTTTACAGCATTAATCGGCATGAAAATTCAATGTGAACTCAGTGCTACTATACGGATCAGAGGCTTGGCGCGTCATGAAGAGCACGACAAACAAACTACAGACCTTCATCAACAGCTGTCTTCGCTCAATACTCAAGATCAGATGGCAAGAAAAGATCAGCAGCAGGATCTCTGGGAAATAATCAACCGGGAACCAATCGTGCAACAAATAAGCAGGAAGAAATGGAGATAGATTGGCCATACTCTGAGAAAGCAAACCACCAAGTGACATCACACTCCAGGCTCTTGAGAAGAACCCGAATCGGAAGCAAGGAGCTGGTCATCCGAAGGTGACATGCAGGAGGCAATGCGAAGAGGAGATGAAAGAATGTGGGCGGGTGGAAGTGCTGGTGGAGGACCAAATGCAATGGAGACGTTTGGTTGAAGCCTTATGTTCCTCTAGGAACCAAAGGTAACAATAATAATTATAGCATATGCCTTCGTCGAATTTTCCTTTGGTTTTCGACACGAATGCATGCGACTCCCCCTGGATTGATGGCTAACTTCAGTATCTATCAGTGTCTTACAATTTTTATTCCGCACGGTTCTCCTACGCTCACAGAAACTCAATATAAGAACGTGAAGTCTGATGATAAGAGTTATATACATAGAAATACAAAAAATTTATAAGTACTGGTAAGACGCACATCAAGGACTATCTTTAAATTTATCTAAAGTCATTACATAGTGAACACCACTTCTAATAAATTCGGTATAACCCAACGATGTCAGGAAAAGTCCGGATGTTCTTTGTTTAAAACTCTCGTGGACTGGTATATATTGTGATATTTTGAAATACTACACACTTATCGCGCTCTCGGTCAGTGGACGGTCAAGGATTAAAGTGTTTGCTTTATTTATTCGAATATTTCTTTTCAATTCAGTCATTTAGGTAAGGCAAGTAATTTGTATGCAGGAAAGTTTGTTCTCATTGCCTGTCGAGGTTTTATTGAGATTACGTTTTGGTTTTCGTATTATTTATGTCCCAAGATTACAACAGTTCTAAACGTATTCTAATCTATTCTTTAATAATGAATTTTCATGGCAAACTAAGATTTTATGTACCCACTATGTTCTGAAATACTGCTAACCGTGCTTAAAACGAGAGCTGGGTGCTGAATTAAGTCTTTTCGTTCTGAAGTGACGCTAGTCTGAGCCTAAAACTTCCTGTCAGGGCTGGAACAACGCTAGTAAGAAAATGCAGTAGGTTTCAATCTACTACTAAAAATGCCTAGAAAAAGAACACGGAGCTGAATTAATGCCAGTCATTGTGAAAACCTGCATTGAGTTCTAGTCTGTGGCATTAAAGAATCCATTTCAGAACAGATTCAGAATTTACTCACCATAGCGCGTTAAAATCATTTTAGAGTTATTGAGATTTAATTCGGCATTATGGCAAGCTTGGGGTTTTGAAAATTTCTCCGTATAAAAAGCCTGGATGATTTTCATATCTTCATTTTTGGACAGTTGTATTATTGACCCACTGTTTCCTATTAATACATTTTGACTATCTACACATCTCCATAGTAAATGTAGCTGAAATAAGAAGCGTCGACGCTTTGTATATTATATATAACAATTAACAAAAAAATATTTCTACTGTTTAGATAAAAACTAAGATTAGTTCCGTTGTATTATGTGTCTTTTTACATCATAAACCTCTGGTTGGCAAACAGAATGTTTTTTAATCCACAGGACAGTTAAATGTATTACTTCTACGCTACATGTGATGCTAAGGAAGAGGTGTATTTAGCTGAAAACATATTGCATAACACCTACTTCACATAAAATCTAAAGACAATAGAATTTATACCCACTGTCAGGCCCGATTAACAAGTAGTTTAGGAAGCACTTATTTAGTTGACCTTTATATTAAAAATATGATTTATATTTATTTTAATTTTTATTGGCATCTATAGAGATGTCCATATCTGGGCTTGTGTACATAAACTTTACATGGAGTGGGGCTTGCACTTAGCTTAGTTAATTAGACGATGCATGCTCCTAAGAAGGATGTGTGCTGTACTTATTGAGTTAATGGCGATTCCAGATTGAAGCTTACATATAGAGTGGCAATTTAAATAGTTGACTAGCCTATCAAAGTGAAGCGCATTTTGAATGAAAATTTAACGCATCTACAAAATGAATTTTTCCTTCCGTATTCTAAAATTTGGTTTTGCATATCAGTTCAGATAATTTAATCAGGCTACTTAGCTAATTTTCTACTTTTACTGATCTCAGTGCCAATATGCACCAATTTACGTTAAGAATGGTTCTTAAAAACTTACAATATTTTGTCAAATACCGGTCGTATGACAATTGACTTTAAGTTAATTGCATAGTTATAGAAGAAACAAGTAAGTTGGAAGAAAAAAAAGCATGAACCTCCTGCTCCAGAATCAGGTCGGTCGTGTTTCGTTCACATACACTTTCAAACAAATTTTGTAAAGTGAAATATGGTATAAATAAAATGAATTTCATCTGGGTTCGATTCCAGGCCGACGTGCTCCTAAAGCTCTTTTGCTCTGTGGTAGACTCAGTAAGAAGGGAACGTTCAATGCGAAGATAACAATCTCACCGTGGTAAAACATACGACTGGTACTGAAACTTCAAAGCTGAATCCTGAAGTCCTACGTTTTACTCAGAATGCAAAACAACGGAAGAAAAACAACAAGTGATACGATAGAATCCCAGTTCATGACTTTTAATCGGAGGTGTATATGAAACCGTGTAACTAATAAAAAACATGGATCACTATGGTGGAATATTTGCATCCATTTGATATAATAAACAGTATTATAGTATTGCTATTATTATCACATTACTGTTACACTATATTTTCCGTCTCATTCTTATGTGTCCGGTTAAGTATCATTATATTACAACCAGTATCTTATTTTGTGAGCTTTACAAGTATGCGACTGGTCAAAATGATATAATTTGGGAAAATTGTATTCCAGAGTTCTTAATTAAATGATCTACATGTCTTTATCTTGATTATTATGATCATTTCGACAGCAGAAACATGTACAGTTATTCCCAGATTCTTTGGTCATAAGATCTGCCTAAAAGTTTAATTCTAAGGATGTTTAGACAATAAAGATAAAAACAAGGAGAACTAAAGAGTTTCTTATTCCCCCTTTAGTGAGATTTCACGTTTAGTATTTTTACTCTTAGAAGAGTACCTCACCTTTAGAGGCATGTGAGAATGTCCTATACTGTATAACTTAAGGACTGAAAACTGAAGTTGTTTTTTTTAACTCTTTCATTGTTTTGAACTAGCTCCTTTATTTTATTAGACAATGGTAAGCATATTTTCTTGGTAATTACAATGAGATATCATGACAAATTAATCAATAATACTCAGTGTTGCTAAACTGATATTGTATTTTTTATTTTTCAGTAATATGTCGAAAGAAAATGGTCCATCTGGGGATACAGATGACGTAATAGTAGTGAATAAAGATGATGAAGTGAAATTAAAACGTTCTATTGGTCTTGTAACCAGTATTACTATTATTGTTGGATCAATGATTGGATCTGGTATATTTGTTAGTCCTACAGGTATACTAAAAAATGTCAAAAGTATTGGAGCTAGTCTTGTCATATGGGTTGCTTGTGGTATCTTCAGTATGCTTGGTGCATATTGTTATGCAGAACTTGGTACAATCATTGAAAGATCTGGTGGTGATTACATCTATGTCTATGAAGCATTTGGTCCATTTTTTGGCTTTTTACGTTTATGGGTAGAAGTAATGGTTGTTCGACCAGTGTCTATTGCTATTGTAGCTCTGACATTTTCAGAATATGTATTACAACCTGTATATCCAGATTGTGAAATACCCATTATTTTATTGAGAATTTTAGCAGCTTTATGTATCAGTAAGTTTGATAGATTCTGAATTTAAAAAAAGTTATTAACGTTGAATTAATTGATCTTTTGGAGCAGTATATTAGTAAACTGTATTCCCTTGATAAATGGCAGTTATCTTGAACAAAATAGGTGAGAAATAATATCTTGGAATGGAATTCAAAGTGATATAAGTTTATGTATCCATGAAGTAACATATTTCGAATCTGAGATCCCTTTGATAAAAGTTGAAATGTAAGAACTGGAAAGTTTTTTATCGGTCGATTCTACCGTTTGACATTTCAGCGAGACATTAAGGGCAGTATTTTATTATTATTACTCCCTTGGGTTCCTAGTGGAACATAGGGCTTCAACTGCACGTCTCCACTTGCTTCTGTCTTCTGTACTTTTCACCTGTATCCATGTTAGTCCATACTCTTTCAACTCCTCTTCACACGATCTCCTCCATGTCACTCTTGCACTGACGTCCCACTCGGCGCTTCTCTTTCGGCTTGGTTCCACTCGATGGCTTGATGCGCGGTCACCCAGCGGTCTCCTCAGCAGTATTTTATACCTATATTTTATTGAATTCCTTCAACAGTTATGAACTCAATAGACAATCGATTAGGTGGATTTAAATTTAATGTTTCTTCATTCGTCGATTCTTCACTTAATTCAGGAAACAGGATAAATTAGTGCAGAGATTTTAAAAGAAGTAAAATTAGATGTTACTTGGTTAATGTTGGCTAACAGTTGAATTTACGATGAACATTTTGTCTTATTTGAGGTTCTTTAGTTGGATGTATCGATATCCCTATTGAGATTCAGGCCCTATACTAATTTTTTCAAGCACCAAGGAGTTATCCGCTACTGGGGTGGTAGCTGACATGTCCAAAGAAATCAAATATTCCAGTCCAATATAATCATTTAAAGCGAAATATAAATTAACTAGACCTAAACGTCTTCAAAAGGAAATGACTTTGAGGATGTTTTCAACCTTGTTGCACTCAGGTATCCGTGGCTAATTGGAAGAACACCCACCAACCATGCGAGTGGTCCGGCGTTCGATCTCCGGCCACCGACACATTCCTGAACTTCTATTACCCTGTAGTAGACGCGGTAAAGGGGGAAGGGTTGGGCATGAAATCAGCAACCCCATCCTGTAAAAACAGCAGTGCTATACTGAAACTTTGTGGCACTAAGAATTAAGACGAACTTTAAGAAATGTTGTATTCTGAGAAGATATTTGACTTCTGTATTCTGGTATATTTCTTTTATCTCTTTCAAAACTTATTACCAGTGAAATTAACTCCTGGTAACATATCAAAAAGGCAAACTGGATGCATAAAATGATATGCTATTGGTTACAGGATTTCATCATGAGTTGGCATTAGTTAGAGAACCATTGGGAAACATGGAAGTACTGGACAGCTGTTTCGTCCCACTAGTTTGAGACTCTTAACCAGTACGTACCTACCGGGATTCGAACCCAGGACCTTCTGGTTACAAGGCGAGCAAGATAGTATACCATTAAGCCACTGGGACTCAATCGAATGGCTGGGACGAAACAGCTGTCCAGTACTCCCAGGTTTTCCAATGGTTCTCTAACTAATGCCAACTCATGATGAAATTCTGTAACCAAATCAAATCCCTACAAAACCAATACTTGGATATGCTTTTGATTATTTGAGATGAGTAGTTGTACACCACTCACATCAACCAGTAGCACTTACTAGCCAAATCGATGTTATCTGAAAATCGGACCTTTAAGTTAATCATTGGTGTACCCATTTTGAGTCAACTCACAGAGCCGAATTATTTCATACCATCTGAGAATAGATGACATGATTTCAGTGAAATCCCAACTAGAACTGTGTAAATTGTAAATTAATTTCTGAAATTGAATTTTAAGACTATTTGTAAGTTAAATATATTGAACTAAACACTATTTATGCCTCTTCTCTTCGTATCCATTGAGATGAGCATTTAATTTATGAATTTAGGGAAAATAGTAATAATAATGATAATAATAATGGTAACTACTTTATGATTTTTCATGTTATTAACACTTAAAACAATTTAATCTTTGGCTTTACTTCTTTTTCTCAGCATTTTTAAGTTTTGTCAATGCTTTCTCTATCAAAATATCAACACGTATACAAGATATATTTACATTTGCTAAACTAGCAGCTTTGGTTATGATTATTGTAACTGGATGTGTACAAATTGGATTAGGTAATTGCTGTGTTTATTTATTTGCTTTTATTTTCGTCTATTTTTTATTATTAAAAATGAAGTATTTTTATTATTGAATTTTAAACAATGATATGAAGGTTTACAGTATGGTTTAAAAAGGCATTCCTCGCGTACGTCGGTGGCATAGCGGTTAGGACGCTCGCCTTCCATGCACATGGTCCAGGGTTTCGATCCCCGGCCACCGACGCACTCCTCTACCTCGCTAAGCCAGTAATAGAACTGCCAAAGAGGGAAGGTTGGGTATGAGACTAGCAATCCCATTCTGTAAAAGTAGTCACCACTGCCAAAGAAACTTCAAGCCTGTAGCTTGAAGCCGCCCTATGTCCCACTGGGAACGTTAGGGAATAAAAAAGGCATTCCTTAGAAGACCTGAATGGTCAACAACAGCACTACTGAAACATCAGAGCTTAAGCTTGAAGGATTGATTGAGTAGAATGAGGCAAACATTTAATAGTAAACTTGCTTATGTATAAGTTTCAATAGTTGCCACAATTTTAAATTTAAACTATAGAAATCTGCAGGAATGAGCACGCTAACCACTTGGGTTGGAAACGTAAATTCCGGGGTGAGAAAAAAGAACTCTGGTCGAGTATTAATAAGGGAGGAATACGCTTACTTCTATTTATTGATATGAGAGCTATTTTCGTAAGATTATTAAAAAGAGGTATCCAATCAAATGTTCTAAAACTTGTTTGAGCATCATGGCGGTTTACACATAACTTCATTAATTTACCCTAACTGGTTGGTTCAGTGTTAGTAGATCCTTTGTTAGGCTAGGATCTTGTAGTCTCACCCAGTCAGTCTCCCCAAGAGAATGGTACATTGGGAATATTCTATATTGAAGTTGCTCTAACATGTACATCCATTTGAGAGATTTTAAGTCGGATCATCAAGTCTTCAATGATTGAGTATCTAAGCTAAGTTAACTACACCATCCTTATTAGATGTAAAGAAGTAGAATGTGTTGTGAGACAATATTTTACAGAAGTTAGTTAAAATTTTCTGATTTTTATTATTCTTTTTGATTAAAATGTATGGAAAGAATTGAATGTTGCTCTTTTTGTGTGCGTGAAACGTTATTATTATTATTATTACTATTGAAATTGTTGCTTAGTCAGATGACAGAGGTGTAAAACAGCTTTGACTGCCTTTCTTTCGGCATTTCATTCCATGTGAATTTGCCATTCTATGCGTGATAAACTAAGTCTCACACGGACTATTCACTACAAACACAATACAGTCACTCTGTTTGTTCTAAAAACTAATGATTACATTTTACCTATTGGAATTTGACTTTTTAAGAAAGCACACTTCATTAGATGATTTAACAGAAGAAATTGTTAGTCAGTTAGTGTATCGCATACATCACGAAAATTATCCTACCGGATCTTGTCTTCCTCATCTCTACTGTCTAGATAAGTGAGAGGGATGAATTCATCACATAGGTTTCTCCTGTTGATGGTGACTGAAGCTTGGTGTTCTTTCTTCATCACCTCTATCTTCTTTATCTATGATTAGTTGACGTCCTGCCTTTCTTACTTCTTCCCACAAATTCTTGGTCTCCGCCTTTACATCTTCAAGTTTGTGTGATATTAGACATAAGGAATCTTAGAAGTTCAGATCTTATAGAGTTTGTTTGTCAGTCCATTGTATTCCTGTCTTCTCGCTTCCATGGACAGTCTCCAGTGCGATTAAGTCCATTATAGTGAGGTATATCATCAGTGATAGTAGGTAGCGTTTTCTTGTTATCCCTTTTACTATAACGGATTTGCTGAGTTTTCCGTTATGAATCACTTCACAGATAGAATAGGGGTGATGAAGTTTAGAGTAATTTTGATAGCATACTGGGTTGATATAATTTCTTTCGTCGTCAGTTATAATGAGTGACTGTTTGAAGTTAAATAACTTGTATAGTATTAATAATAACCGGTCATTTTCTGATACCTTCTCATAACTTTAGGTGGATTTATAGATGCTGTACGAGTTAAAGTCGACAGCATTTCATCCACTGATCATAAGCTAGGATAAAGATGCGACCATATAGGTTGGCAGAAGTCTTAGCGAAGGTCATCACATATTTTGATAATTTCAAAAAACGATTTTTTGTATCACTATCAATTTTTAACAGAAACTGTCCTTTATTTACTTTGAGATACGGTGAAGTCCTCTATCTATCTGTTTTCGGCATAGAACTTTGCACCGATGTGCCGCATTCCAATTCGTCACACCCCCTCCATGTAGCACACAAAGCAAGAGAAGAAGGTAAAAGAAATGCATAATAGAGACAGTAAACAGAGGTGTGTGACATAGAAATAGAAGTAACGAAGAACAATGTAATTTCATTGTAAATCATAAGTAAGAATAAGTGGATGCATCTACACTGTCATTGAGAGCGAATTTGAGCCCGCCATATCACCAATTGTTTCCAACCAATGGATTTTACCGTCCCGAGGACCCCAACCAGGAAGTCTGCACCTTCCTACGTGGCTTAGACTAACTGTTGCAAATTTCATTCACTAGTTCCATATTCTGGTTTGACCTCCGCTATCTCTTTTCCAGCCTGACCCTATATCAGCTATCATTTCCCGTCGAGGAAGGCGATGACTAGGCATGTCCTAACCATCTCAGTCAGTGTAGCTTCAAAGCCTCGTCGATTGATTTCCTCTCCTTACCTAGAACTTGACGCCTAACCTCAATATTGCTCACCTTCTTACACCTACCACTTCACACGGGAGATAGAACGCAGGCACCTATGATCGAAGACAGCTAATCTTTTCATATCTTCCACTGTCAATGGCCACGCCTCACAGACATAAAGGAGTACGGAGCGAACTGATGAGCGGTACACCCGCCCTTTGTTCGATAGTAGGCTATCGCGTCTACGCCAGAGATGGTGTAAACTGGAATATGCAAATCTAGCCCTCTGTGTCCATGGTGAGATTTCGTCAGCTACGCTTTCTCCTGAATTACTTAAACACAGTCCTAAGGATATATATATGCATGTTGAACTGGTAGATTTTCAACTGTTGGTTTATAGGGATTTGATTTATCTCAGTTTTGAACATGAACTGACTCCAGTTAGGGAATCATTGAAAACCACGGAATACTAGGTACCTGTTTCGTCATTTTTGGGACTCTTCAGCAATACACACTCATCATTCCTCACCAGGAATTGAAGTTAGATTTGATGAGTTATTGGATTCCTTCCCAGTATCTGAATGATCAGTGAGCTATCCATGTGACTTGAAGATCCCAGGTGTGATCCTTGGGAGGGCGTATACTTCTGAAGAATTCTGAACTAGGACGAAGTAGCTATCCAGTACTCCTCTGGCTTGCAATATTTTCCTAAGTCAACAGTCTTCAGAACTACTGGATGTTTCATTGTCATCAAAATTATTAAAGTTTTAAAAGTTTTAAAGTATTTCTTCAGTCACAAAATTGAAATCAAAGATTATATGAGGTCTAGAGAAATTTATCTCCTTGAATATCAAATAACTTAAAATGAATTACCATCAGTCTATTGTACGTTAATGGTTCACTTTTAGAATGTTTGCTAATCACATGCATGTGATCCGGGTTCAATTATTCTTGGTCAGCTGACTTAATCCTTGTGCCTCTCTCAGTCGGTAGTAAGTTCGATAAAGGGGGAAGGTTAGGAGTAAGACTAGAAACTCCACTCTGTTAAGCTGAGCAACACTGGTTTAGAGGTCAAGCTTGAAGCCTTATGTTCATAAACATATGTCAAGTTATTGATTAATAGCCTCTTATGACTAAATAAATTTGGGATACTTCTATAAAGTGACAGCGTAGACTGATGAACTTTTGTGCAAAGTTCTGAATAGATAAGTTAGACAGTCAGTCAGTAATAGTTGTTGAGCTCTTAGTAGAATATAATGCATATATCACTTTATTATAATTTATTATTGTTCCTTTGGGTTCCAAGTGGGAAACTGAGCTTTGTTAGCCCACCTTCATTTCATTCTAACTTCTGCAGTCATTTGTAGCTGGCTACAGGATTACTCATAAGCTTTAATTTCCCCCTAAGATGATCTCCTCCATGTCACCATCGTACTCACATCCAATCCATCGTATTTCACTTGAATCCTCCGTCAACAGCCTGATGTGTGTGTGTGTGTGTGTGTAATATCGCTTGGAGACTTCCCTATCATTTGTCCAATCCACCTTCATCGCTTTTTGCATATTTATTCGGTGACAGCTTGTTGATTGCCAAAGTTCCATGGTGACAATCTTCTTTTTTCTAGTCACCCATCTAATCTTTAGTATTGAGCAAAGGCATTTGTTAATAAAAGTCTGAATCAGCCTGTTGGAAGTACTTTTCATGATGCCTGTGTCATGTCTCTGCGATCCATCTAGAAGCATGTACTATTTTGACTGACATTAGTGCTGAAGTTCCTGAACTTCCGGTGACAATTTCACTGGAACCCATACTGATAAACGCCAGGTATTATGCTTATCTTCTTCTACTTCGTCAATGGAATAAATTATTTAATTTATTTTGCTCTTTGCTAGTTGAACAATTTCTGTCTGCTAGCCTCAGCTTCTGTATATATATATTGAAATATAAAATCAGTTAGTTGTCTGACATTTAGGCGTTAAAGACAGACGATAGGAACAAGTTTTAGAATTTTGGTGCAGTGTAAGATGATTATCGCATCGTTTCATCGTCATTATCATCATCATCAAAAGAAATAAGTTAATCACAGTAGTAGTTACTTGGGGTTCTAGTGAGAAGTTGTGACCAGTAGGGTGCAGCTGGTCTGGTGTGAGGGCAAATACTCGCCAGAGTTGACATTGGTTAGTGGTCGCGCTATGTCGTGAATCGGCAGAAGTTAGAATTCATGGGTCGTTGGATCGGGTCCCAGTGGCCTAATGGTCTACGAGCTAGTTCGCCTTGTAACCAGAAGGTCCTGGATTCGAATTCAGGTGGGTGCGTACTGCTGAAGAGTCCCAAACTAGCG